TTATCTATTTATTTCAATTGCCTATTAGTGACAAATAAGCATATTGAACGTCGTTGTTGTGATTAAAGTCTTGCTTTTCTAAAAGTCTTAGTCTGTGCCTTAATCCGTAATTCTAAACTACTCCCTGTGATATCGATATCTAGGACTCCATTAGAGCCCTATATTACTTGAGCGATATGTATACTTGCGTTGATAGATGTGACTTTACAATTATTGAATATTTAATACGTCCATATTTATCTTATATTTTATTGCATATATAAAGTAGCTGTCAAAGTTTTTGGCGCCGTTGCCGGGGATTTAAATCTTCTAGCAGCTGTATCAAATTCTTGTATTTTTAAGCATATATAAAGTCGATGTCAAGTTCTTCTAGCAGCGGCCGGGGATTTAAATCTTCTAGCAGCGGTATCAAATTCTTGTATTTTTAAGCACATATAAAGTCGCAGTCAGATGGTAATCTTAATCGGGAGTTTTTTTAAGTAGTTTCGACTACTTAAAATGTAATTAACTATAAAAGTTTACCTTTATAGGAGAAGTTGAACCCTAGATGATATCACCTGAAGTCTATGGTTGAGGGGATTTGCTTTTCTTTAAGTTCTCTTCATGGAGGTGTTTTCAAATTGTCTTAAAAACTGACTATACTTCAATCAAATACTTTGGAGCCCTCTCTATAAGGTTTGCCTCATCAAAGTATTTTCTCCCACATTCTTCTTTTGTTTGACTCTATTATTATCGTCCTCCTTCATCACCGAGTTCTCACTTCTCAAGGTCATTGACATGATCTGAAGTAGATAAGCATTGGGAGAGAAGGGTGATATAATGGAATTCAAACTTATGACTCCACAATGACAACGACATCAAGCAAATGAAAAAATGAAGACCACCGACGCTACTTTAGGCAGCACTAATGCCCTACTTAGCTCTCTTCCCATCAAGCTTGGTTTGGTGCATGATGCATAAAATACTTGTGTTAACACTCTGTTTTGTAGGTCGAGCCTTTATTTTGGTCCTTTTCTTTGTACTTCTAAAGTTCTATGATTAAGCTTATATAAAAAATAAGGTACAAACTTTAGTCCCAAGGAGTTTTACAGAAGGACCATGTGATTAAGACTACAAACTGATGCTTAAGCCCTGTGTCTTAATTTTGAGTCTATTTATTATATAGGTTTAGGTTACACTATTTTAAACAAAAGTTTCTTCATTCATTGGGTGCAATTTATGAAAGGCCTTTGAAAGTAGATTTAGTGACAAAAGCTCTTAACAGACCCTCAACTGTCAGGGTTATGGTTGAGAGAGATATAACACAAACTTCTATAATGAGATTTAGTTAGATACACAAAATATTGCCTATTGACAGAAGGTGGGATGGAAAAAAAAAAGACCTAAATATTGTCATAAATGCAATTTCTTTTAATTTAATTCTCTTAAAATTTTCACATAAATACTCGAGATATCCCCTTCATTAGCTCTTCTTTTATTTACAAGTGTGCTATATTTTTCACATAATTTTATAAATCAATATAACTACCACCATGCATTCTCTGACACGTGCAACGGAAATGATCATCCACTTGACAATATCTTGCTTATATTCATCAAGCAAGGTATTTGAGATAAATTTTATTGTAATTGTCCTCTCAGGATACGGAGATTTGAATATTTAAATAATGTTTTGAAGCTCATGATTACATATATATATTATAACCAAGGCATATAAATATTGATATTTTATTCAGTGCTACAAACCAAATGTTTGTCAGACTCCCTGATTTCCCTTCGATAGCCTAATAGCCCACAGATGTGATGAATAGCTGAGTGTCTAGCTTCGCTAACAAAGCATGTTTAGGCCAAAGTAAACAGAAAACAAATAAATAGCTTACTTAATCATTTTATTTGACCGAGAATAGATGATATAATCTTTTAAAAAGTGCTGGGAAAAACATTAATCAGCAAAAATGGCGAATCAAAGAGTCATTATCAAGCCATTAATTACGCCGCTAACTAGTGAATAGGGTGCATTAAGGGTTAAAAATGCCATAATTAGAAAAGGATCATAAGAATTGAACTAATCAGACAACATAATGATGAATGCATAAGAAAAGAGCGGATAAAAGTAGAACTTTAGATGATAAATAAAAATGCAGTAGAATGGCACAGTGACTTCAAAATAATAACATATTAATTTTAATTCTACGTAAACCATGTTCATTATATGTCGTGAGCCAGATTGCTGAGCATTCAAATGGGCTCTTGTGTTCTTTCTATGTACACTGTAGCAGCTGAGGTGGCGGCAGCAGGAGTTTTAATCTAAATTACATTGATATGTATCTATTTACATCTCTGCCGTTAAGAGTTTCAATCGATACCCTCCTTGAAGGGTCCAGATTCATTAAGCGATTTCATGACAAGTTTGACCTGAAATGAAGCACAAAGCCAATCAACAATCCAGAAGGTGATAATTAGATGCACAAAAAATGTAATAAAAACTCACATCATATCAGCAGAAATACTCATAATTAAATTAATATTCCAAAGAGAGTAAGATTAAAAAATGAAATTAATATTCTACAAACTTTGGGTTGAACTCTTTCACTACTCCTATTTAAGATTTGGGGCATTTGCATACACAGCACACAATTCTCATGTATTTAAATATCTAACAGCTAAACTTTTTTATCAACATACATAACACTCAAATTTTTGCCATTATTACTAACTTGTTAAAAGGGAATATTTACATATACACCTAACAATTATTATGTATTTACATATCTAATACTTGAAGTTTTCTATTTACACTTTAACATTTTGTTGTAATAAACTTATGCACGAAAAGGTGTATTTCACCTTTAGAAAAATAGCAATAGAAGTTTTTTTGATGTAATGTTAAAGATTTTGAGTGTTATTTATGTAAAAATGAAAATTTGGGGGTTAGATATCAAAATATATAAGAGTTGTGTGATATGTATGTAAATACACCTTTTTCATGCAGAGGTTATGACATTGAAGTGTTATAAATCTAAATAACAAATTGTAGGCATTAGATATGTAATTACAAAAGAATTGTGTGTGTGTGTGTGTAAATTTCCCTTAAAATTTTGGTTTTGCCACTCTTCATCCGTAAAGTGGAACACATTTCAAAAAATACTTGGAGAATGCTTTGTGAAGCCAGTCATTTTAATATACTTTGGTTTTGCAGGCAAGGTTCGAATTTAAGACTATAATAACTAATCAAATACTTACCACTCGGCCAAGCTGAAACTCAAATATTCATTATCCGGTATAAATCAATATATGCAAAACCTTTTTTTTCCTTTTAGAGATGTACATTCTAAACATCTTTGTCTTCATCCCAACTATTTGTCATCAACTCTGTGATATTAATATTATGTAATAGCTACATATGTACCTGATCTGTCTCACGCACGAGAAAGTCTGCTATGGCATTCCTAAAACCATCATCCAAGATATAGTGGCAGCTGTATGTTGTTACCGGGAGATAACCACGTTGTATCTTATGCTCTCCTTGTGCTCCAGCCTCAACCTTATTTAGATTTAACTCAATGGCTGCTTCAATTGCCTTCAGAATAATTCCCAATGTCAAGCAAAAAAATGCCAAGTCTAATATTAAATAAAAAAATAGTCAGTTTAATATACAGCATTTTTTTTTTTAATTTTTATTATCAGTTCCCACTAAGAATTACCCAACATTGCACTTTCTCAAAGTCTTCTTAGAAAAATGTGATAGAGCTCAATTTCCATGTAATCCAAAATTACAAGTTGGAGCTCATTGAACATATGAACATTAAGAAGGAAGGAGTAGAATCAAGTAAATAAACAATTGCAGCAGCAGAAATTTAATAGCTGAACATTATAATTATGATGAGCTCTGAAATGCAAAAGAAATATTTACAATTTTCAAGCAGTTGTTTGCAAAAGAAATTGCCAGCAAATGTGATCATTAAAAACTGGCATGCTCTGTATTCATCATAACAAGATGAGCAGAATGAGTATTTTTTTCCCATTAATGCTAAACACGGCAGCTAATGTTAGATTGCAATCTAAGAATAGCAGTGAAAAATCAGTAATAAATTTATAAGAGAAGAATAAAGCCAAAGTAGGAAAGAAGTATTGCGGTATAATCAGTTGTGTTTATTTGGCCAGAAAATGGCTTATAACGGATGGAAGTTGCCCAAACCACAAAAGAAACATAAATATTATTGTTGAAATTAAAATTAGTTACGACAACAACTCTTCAACAGAAAATAAATGATAACAAACACAAAACATAAGACAATACAAACAAACACCTCAAAAGTGTATCTCAAGGGCAATGGAGGTTGGCCCGGTGGATTTGGAGGCTTGGGATAGCAAGAGTGAATGCAAGAGAGGGACCAGCAGGCTGCAAGGGGCGTCTGGGAGGGCTGGATGGTAAGGTCAGCTGCAGGTTGGAGGGTAATAGGCTGCTAGAAGGCGGATTGGAAAGGCTGGACAACAAGACAATGGAAGAAAAGCAGTGGCCGGTCAGCAGGGATGGTAGGGGGATGGCCAACGGCTAATGGAAGGGAATGCAAAGGGGTAGGGAGGAGGATAGAGTAAGATACAACACCACCTCAGAGTAGGATACAGTCGGAGCATCACCACCCCCTCAGATCCAGCCCTAGAACAAGGAGAACACCTCCACAAAAGAATCTGAAAGTAACACACAACAATAAACTAATCCTGAACTCTGAAAATAACAAATAAAGAGCTCCTGCATGAAGGAGAAAAAGAGAAGGAAGGAGGAGAGGGGAAGACGACAGTCCTGCCCCGTCAGGTCGCTAGGCTTGGGTTCACCAAGGATCAACCCTCAATTGGACCGATCGGGTTCAGTAAATGGATTTTCTGCTTCCCGCGTTGGTGCAAGAAGCTTCACATCCCGCGCCTTCACAATCCTGCGTAGCGGGATTTCCCGCTTCCCACATCAATGCAAGAAGCTTCGCGTCCCGCGTCAGAGTAGGAAACCCCACACCAGTCTCCCGGAGTTGGGGAAGCTTCAACTTCATTTATCGAAGCTTCAGGTTCCTCATAGTACTGTATCAGGTCGATAATGTTAAGCGTGGCTGAGACATTGTACTCCCCAGACAGATCGATCTTGTAGACGTTGTCGTTCCAAAACATATTTTGACAGAATATGTATCTGTCCACCTTTAGAATGCCCTGAACTTGAACTATAGGTAAACGAGTATTCTCACTGCTCAGATATCGAGCCATTTCAAGGATAACTTGATTCTTCCACTCCTCATAATCGGCTGAGTGCAGCTAAGGAACTGGTATGGGAGGAGAAATCAATTCTGGGGTGAAATTTATGGCAAGCCGCACTCCTATCACTAGCATTCACTTAAGAGAGACATCTTCAGTAATGGGACCTGAATCCCATTGAAGAACTTTCTTACCCCTGAGGTTCCTAGGACACATTTCAGAGTTCAGGTTCCACCCACCCGTCTGGAAATCTTTTGATGGGTGCCCCATAGAGCTGACTCTAATATCTGAATTACTCACTGTAATAGTCCAGGCATGGGACATAATGACTCCTCTTTGGACATGTTGGACCTCCCGCCATAGGGCAACTCAGAAGGAGGTCTATAGATCTGAAGTATTTATCTTCCACTTGTCTGTGGGGGCCCTATGTCTGATGTTGGCTCCTCAAACTCGTAACTGCAATGGCCACTTATAATGAAGTTAGTTGGAGTTTCTTCCACGAGCTCAGCTGCGACTAAGTGTATCTTGTCCTCAACTGGAAGTGGGTTCTTCCTGTTTATATCCACACTGTCTTCAGTGTCTACAGTGTCTTTACCAAACTTTTTGATGATGCCATGCTCGGTGAAATAGATCAATCCTCTGGTTGTACATTCAGCTTCAACATGTCCAAATCCGTGGTACTTGCATTATTTTATGGCCGTGACAGACTGGCGGATTGGTATTGTTGTATGATAGCGAGGGAAGTCGCTTGGTATTGTGGTCACTCCATTTTAAAAGCTAGTGTCTGCAACTTTTAGAGGTAGTAAGTTGCTAGGAACTGGCGTTATGTTTCTCGCTTCATCTTCATAACTTCTCGATCCCCCCTCGACCTTTCAGATCACGTCAATGGTGGTCTCCCAATGGATTTCATCTTCCAAGTTTGTAACCCACTGCTGAAGTCGGCGGATCACTCGTCGTATCTCCTCTCGGGAAGGCTGGGGCATGTATCTCAATCGTGGCATGGGTAGAGTTTCGAGTTGAGAGGTGAAAGAGGACAAAAAAATTTAATTTAGGGTTGTTGATTTTGAAAATCAACAGAAGGAATTGAGGGTTAGGTCTCAATAAAAATCCCAAGATAAAACTAGGTTGGACTAGCTCCGATACCAAATGATATCGGATGCTAGGTTGCCCAAAACATATCGGATGCATGGTTGCCCAAACACAAATGTTATTATTGAAATTCAAATCAGTTACAATGATGACTCTTCAACAGAAAATAAATGATAACAAACACAAAACATAGGATGAAACAAATAAACTCCTCGAAAGTGTGATCCAAGGGTATTGGAGGTTGGCCCGATGGATCTGGATGCATGGGACAGCAAGGGCGAATGCAGGAGAGGGCCCGACAAGCTGCAAAGGACGACTTGGAGGGCTGGTTAATAAGGCCAGTTGCAAGTTGAAAGGGAATAGGGAGCTGGAAGGCGGATTGGAAAGAATGTACATCAAGACAATGGCGGAAAAGGGGCGGCCGAACAGCGAGGAAGGTAGGGAGATTGCCAACTGCTAATGGAAGTGAAGGAGAAGGGGTAAGGAGGAGGATAGAGTAAGATACATCACCACCTCAGATTAGGATACAGTTGGAGCACCACCAACTCCTCGGATACAACCCTAAAACAGGGAGAATAAACTTGACAAAGGAATCTAAAATCAACACGCAAAAAAAAAAAAATAACCCTAAACTCTGAATAGCTCCAACATGAAGAAGAAGCAAAAAAGGAAAGAGAAAAGGGGCAGGCGACAGTCCTGGCTCAGGCCGCTCAGCCTGGGTTCACCCTGGACCGGACCTCAATTGGAATGGACGAGTTCAGTAGTGGGATTTCCTGTTTCCCGCGTTAATGTGGGAGCTTCGTGTACCACATCTTCACGTCCCGCACAGTGGGATTTCCTGCTTCCCGCATCCGTACGAAGCTTCGCATCCTACGTCCGTGCAAGAAGCCCCGCGTCCCGCGTCCCTGCGGGAAGCCTCGCCTCAATGGCTCTGTTTGTAGGATCTTACAATGAGTAGAACATGAATAAAATAAGTGCAAAAATTGCATAAAATCAAGCATAAATGTTTTATATTAAATCTGAATAAACTGCAAGTTACAGTAAAGCAACCTAGGGATGGTGGTGAGCCTTGTCAGCTTGGGATGTTTGGTTGACTCTTATCCAAAACTACCATCACTAAATTAAATTTTGCTAAGTAATTACTACTATCAATTAACGGCGCATTTTTCTTAAATAAAGAGAGAAATTTTCTGATAATCATGCTTTAGCAGATAAATTGAATAGTACATAATGGTCTTGAAGGAGATTCAGAAACCATACTGGATCCAAAAATGCATCTTCCTTTACCTGATAATAGCAGGCCTCAAAATGAAGATTTGGAAAATAAGCACGAGGTAGGCAGCCCCACAATCGACCAAACAGAGTATCACCTCCAACAAGGTTAAGAGCTCCAGCAACAAGCTCTTCGTCTTTTTCAGCTACAATAAGTAAAACACTGTCTCCCATCTTTTCTCCCATATTATGAAAAAAGTCTCTTGTTAGAAAGGCTCTACCCCACCTACATATAAAGAATAGTCAACAGATTAAGCTGCAGACTTCGAAAAAAATGCTCGGAGTTTTGCTAAAAAAACGAACAAAATAAACCATTGAATAATTTTTCCATGGAAAAATCATGTAATATAAAGGCACCCTGCCCCAAGAGAATCCAGTAAAGAGTTCGAAAGTTTACAATAAGAGAAAAGTTTTTATATTAAAAAATAATATCTTTAGCATATTTTTGAAAGAAAAAGAAAAAAAAAAAACTATAAACTATTACCACTGCAGTGAACGCAACAGCATCTATATTTCTTTCAAGCTAAATCACACTATAATAATTAAGTCTGATACAGAGCATGGAAAAAATGATAACAACCTATAAACAGCATTGTGGATCTGCTAACTTATAAATAATCTTATAGTCGTACAAATAATCATATATTGCTTTTCCTAGTGTGAAGTTATAAGGACTTGCAACGCAGTCGTATTAAATAGTGGGAATTGTGAGATCAATGGCTTAAGTTATACGCTAATTGGAGATATCATTAATGCATGCACATCTAATTCTCATAATAGATGTTATTACTATCAAAAAGACAAGACAACCAAAATTTATAACTTAACTCGATCGCATATTTCTATTTCAAGTACCTAGTCACCATAACTTAATAGGCCCTTGTCGGTCAAACTTTTTTTCGATTAGATTTATTTGAAAAATATGATATATGAAAATAATTTTTGAGATTTAATTTAAATATAAAAGATATATAGTTTGAGTTTTAAAAGTAGTATGTTTTAATTTTTAAAAAATGAGACCAAATGGATCTCATTAGTCTGATAGTTTGCATAATCGTGCCCGATACCGCGAATACTACACCCTCCCGAGAGATAAGTGTAGACCTCAGCGATAGACCCAATCCTGCAAACTAAGAGATTTTTGACATCCGTTTGGTCTGCGAACCTTTTATATATGACCGACAAATTCCCCTATTTAATACAAAGATTAAATAGGGTTTATTTTACCTGGGTTCCAAGTTCCCTATAGAGGCAAGCCCCTATAGTTAATTACATCCCAAATGACGGGAGTCACTTGAGAAAACTCTCGATAATGATCAATGGTTCTAGTCTTCAAGAATTCAAAGTTTAGGTTTTCAAGGTAGGACGTGGAAAAAAAGGCAAGTGAGAGTGGCTCAAATAGGAACAGTTATTTCAGGAGTCCAAATAAAAGAAAAAGATAGGGGATGTCATAGATCCTGAGGAGAATCCCAGTGACTTCCCAAACTATCCTACTGTGTGGCTGCATTTTTAGAGATAATGTTATT